AGTGAGGCAAAGTTGAAGCACTTGCTGATGCAAATCCAGGATTTCCACCTTCAACATGAATTAAAATTCAATGTAAATAAAACCAGAATCCTTAAAAATTGAACCAGTAGGTGTGATCTTGATAAAGGAAGAAAAGACTGTCAAGGATTTTGCCTTGCTTGGATCCACAATCAATGTTCATGAAAACAGCAGTCAAGAGATCAAAGGACACATTGCCTTGAGTAAATCTGCTGCATAAGATGTCTTTAAAGTGTTGAAAAGCCAAGTTGTTACTTTGAAGACTAAGGTGCACCTGACTTAAGCCTTGGTATTTTCAATAGCCTTTTATATATGTGAACGTTGGACATTGAGTAAGACTGAAAAAGAATGGATGCATTTGAATTCATAGTGCTTGTGAAGCATATTGAAATAGCATGGACTACTGAAAGAACAAACCAATCCGTTTTAGAAGAAGTAAGGTCAGAATGCTCTCAGAGGCAAGGGAGGGGAGCTTTTGTTTCATGTACTCTGCACCTATCAGGGGAGACCTGTCCCTGGAGGGAGGACATCCAGAAGATAAAATAGAGGGACATTGACAATGAGGAAGGTACTTGGCAAGCTGAGTGGACACCATGGCTGCAACAAGGAGCTCCACCTAAGAACAGTGGTGAGGGTGGCGCAGGGCTGGGCAGGGGGTCTTTCTGTCGTACGTGTAGTGTCGCTATGATGGTGCCCAGCAACAACATTTTTCTTTTAGAGTTTTAAGAACTGTTTTCGGAAAAAGATCTGGAAATATTGTTCCAGTTTCTTCTAAAGGATTTAATGCTTCTAAATATGTGAGATTTTTATAAAATTTCGTGTCATTTGAGTTTGGTACATTTTTAAGCAAAGGAAAATGCAATAATCACTTACTGATACATTGATCTGTTGAAAGGATTAACAAATATAAAATATTAATTCCAATTCCTCGTCTATACTATGGATGTCATAGTACAAAATTATAATTCTCTAATATACTTTGCTAGTGGACTTAGATCCCCCAAATTTACACACACACACACACACACACACACACACACACACACACACTGGCAAGCAAGTCTATTGGCACCATTCTTCCAACAACAGGTCCTTACTTCATATCTTTGTGTCACATTTTGGTTATTGTCACAATATTTCATACTTCTTAAATAAGTTATTGCACACTGGCGTTTTTACTCCCATGAACGCTTAAGGTCTCAGAAACCCACAGCGGGTCACTATGAGTCAGCATTGACTCAGTGGCAGTGAGTTTGGTTTTTGGTTTTCTTTAGAATGAGCACAAATAATTATATTTCCCAGGTGGTTGTCCAGGGTAATAGCTGTCTTCCAATGTGTTGACACATAAAAGTGATAGGTATCTCTAACACTGTATCTGTTTATTTCAGTTGCTTTTCTGCCAATTCCTGGAGTCTTATTTGTTTGTTTGTTTTTTCCTTCTTACCAATGTCACTAGTGCAGGTTGGACTTTGTCCTGAAATATCATCAGTTCTTGAACATAGGTTGCTCCCTCAAGTGATTGGACATCAACCGATACTTTTTGGTACAGAAAATCTATATACAGTCTTCTACCTCCTCCGGAAATCCTTGCATATTCAGTATCTCTCATTGAATTCTTTAATACTGTGACTTGAGGCTAGAATATTTTTTTCATTTCTTTCAGCTTGAGGAAAGCCAAGATTGTTCCACCCTCTTGGTTTTCTAACTCTAGCAGTTTGCACGTTTGTTATAATACTTTTTCATCTGAGCTGCCCGTTGAAATCCTGTGCAGCTCTTTTACGTCATCCTTTGTTCCATTTGCTTTAGCTGCTCAGTGGCTAACAGTATCTCTTCTGACATCTGTTTTGGTCTTTTCTGTCTCTTTATGCCATCGATACTTTCTCTAGTCTTTGGTCTCTAGTTATTAGTGTTCAGTATTTTAAATTCATTGTTGAGATTGTTTCTGTATTCAGGTGGGATATACATAGGTTGTTCTTTGACTTGTGGATTTATTTTACTGCTTTTCAGTTTCATCTATAGCTTGCATATGAGCAATTGATAGATACTCTGGTCTGCAGTCAGCCCTGCCCTTGTCCTGATTGATGATATTAGGCTTCTCCATGGTTTCTTTCCACAGATACTGTCTCTTTGTTTTCTGTGTATCCCATCTGGTGACATCTATGTGTATAGTCCCTGTTACGTTTTGAAAAAAATATACTTACAGTGAAAAAGCTTTTAGTCTTGCAAAATTCTGTCATACATTCACCAGTGTCATTTCTATTACCAAGGATATTTCTCAGCTTCTCTTCGCCCCCTATATTCTTCTTTATTTTTCAGAATATTTTTCAGATCTTCCTCCTTTGTTTTCAATGTTTATTTTCCAATCACCAATAATTATCAATGCATCTTAACTAAATTTGATCAATCCGAGACTGAAGAAGTTGGTAAAAATCTTAAATTTCTTCACCTTTGGCATTAGTGGTGGATGAATAAACTTGAATAATAGTCATTAAGACTAATCATCCTTATAATTGTATGGATATTATCCTATCACTAACAATATTGAACTTCAGGATAGCTCTTGAAATCCTTTTTTTAAACAAGTCTGTTTCAATTTGTCATTCTCGACATAAGTAATGAGCATCGATCCATTACAGCTCATTAATACCTAGGATATTGATCATTAAAGGTTTTATTTCATTTTTTACAACGTCTGGTTTTCCTAGCTTTGTACATTATATATTTCATATTCCAATTATTGATGAATTTCTCAGCTGTTTCTTCTCAAGGTCAAGAAAGCTTTGCTCAACCACATCATTAGGGTCATACAAGTAAAATTTTGCTGAACATCATCCAATAAAAGTTTCAGTAGGACATTGACAGGGAGCTGCCAGGAGTTCAGGCCAGATTCAGAAGAGGCTGTGGAACAAGGGATGTCATTACTGATGTCAGATGGATCTTGAGTCGAAGTAGAGAATACCAGAAAGAAGGCATTTGACTGTGTGGACCACAATAAGCTATAGATAACCTTGAGAAGAATTGGAATTCCAGAACACGTCATTGTGCTAATGAAGAACTTATACACGGATCAAGAGACAGTTGTGTGAACAGAACAAAGAAATACTGCGTGGTTTAAAATCAGGTAAGGTGTGTGTCAGGGCTGTATCCTCTCACCATACTTGTTCAATCTATACGCTGAGCAAACAATCAGAGAAGCAGGATTATATGAAGAAGAACATGACATCAGGAGGAAGGCTTAGTAACAACCTGCTATATGCAGGTGAGACCACCTTGCTTGCTGAGAGCGAGGAGGACTTCAAGCACTTGCTGATGAAGGTCAAGGATTGAAGCCTTCAGTATGGAATTACAATCAATGTAAAGAAGGCCAAAATTCTGGCAATTGGACCAAGAGTTAACATTTTAAATGGAGACAAAATAAGATGTTGTCAAGGATTTCATCTTGCTCGGCCCCCAATCAATGCTCATAGAAACAGCAGTCAAGAAATCAAAAGATGTGTTGCATTAGGTAAATCTACTATACAAGACCTCTTTCGAGAAAAGCAAGGATGGTACTTTGAGGACTAAGGTGTGCCTGACTGAAGCCATGGTATTCTCCCTTGTATCATATGCATGTGAAATTGGACACTGAATAAGAAAGACTGAAAAGGATTCAATACATTTGAATTGTGGTGCTGGAGAAGTATGTTGAAAGTACCATGGACTGCTGAAATAAACTGACCTGTATTGGAAGAAGTAAGGCCACAGTGCTCCTTAGAGACAAGGATGGCAAGACTTCTCCTTACTTACTGTGGACATATTGAGAGGAGAGACCAGTCCCTGGAGAAGAACATCATGCTTGGTAAAGTGGAGGGGTGGTTCCAAAGAGGAAGACCCTCAATGAGACGGATTGATAACCTTGGGCCTAACAGTGGCCTCAGGCATAGGAACAATTGTAAGGATCGTGCAGGACTGTGCAGTGTTTCACTCTGTGATGCACAGGGGTGCTATGCGTGGGAACTGAGAAGATGGCACCTAACAACAGAACAACAATATATTAATAAGTAAGAGTAATATATTAAATGTCTATATAACATAATATATACAATCTATAATGTGTTACACATATAATATATAATTTTAATACAAATACATAAATTTTTATACATAATTTTATATATGATGAGCCGTAAGCTCACTCATTGTGCTCTGCTAGAGCTTTGAATGCATAGAAATCTTAAGGGATGTAGTAGAGGAGCCAGATGAGCCAGGGGATCCAATAGAATTACCAGGCTTCAAAGACAAGCTTAAGCTTGTTGCCCATATTTTTATTAGCCTTAAGAGAAACAGATTCTTCATACTCCTGGAGTGGGAAGAGGTGACCGTTCTTTCATCACATTTAGAGGAACTAAGGTTGAAATGACAAAAGATCCGAAAAACAATGTAGATCTTTCTTGAAGCCAAGGGATTTCACACAACTCACCACTGTTTGTGGGATCCTTCCACAATACTGCTGCCTCATCTCACACCTCTGTCCTTCCAGCCTGATCCCCTGTGTCTTGTGGCTCTGCTTCTCGGCTAGGTTTACCATGGGAACGTTAGCTCGGGCCCTTCTGGCGGCCTCTGGCCTCGCTAGGGTAACCAAAAGGCCTTCCGCTCTGTGGCCACTCCGACGGCCAGAAAGAACGTCCTCTGGGAAATAGAGTTCTCTTTCCTCGGCAGCTTGTCTTGTGTGAAACTCAGGTGGAGCATTTCTAGTGAACACAATTTGTCCCTGTGAGAAGGTGTAGGCAATTTTCAAGGAAATTACTTTCACTAGGGGGTTTCTTTTATCTTTGAGAGGAGAGGAGTTCATCTGGACTGAGAGAATCTTTGTTAGCTGATTCACTTAGCCCCTCTGGTGTTGTCACCATGGACTTATTGAAACTAAACTGACTTGGATCTAACGGACTGCTTGGGCTCTGCTGATCCTGCGGTTTTACACTGAGCTCTTTTTAAATGCCCAGGGAGAAGTACTTCAGATCGCCGCCAACCAGTGCTGCCCCGAGTGTGTCTCCAGGACTCACGGATCTTGCCATCATGAAGGGAGAATCCACGTGGTAAGTGTTTTCTGACCCAAGTGGGAATACGTGTCTGCACGTCTGTGACAAGGGAAGGCTGGATGGTAAGCGTGCATGGATGTGGGGAGTTTTTCTCTGCCTGGACTGTGGAGAACCACAAGCTCATTGCTGGGGACATTTAGGTCTCTTGAATAAAATTAAGACTTTCAATTATTCCATAGACCTTACCTAGGATTTTGTAGGTTGTATTTGTGTTTGCATAAAGCATAGGTTCCTAAAATTATTTGGTTTGCCAGCCCCTTTTCACGGGCAAAAAAATGCTCAGTGCCTACAACCTCTTCACACCCCTCCCCCGCCCCCCAACCAGCAATTAAATACTTTGGGGCTATAGTCCACAACCCAGGATAAAGTGTTCGTGCCTGCGGTTTACAGCTGGCTGGGATTCTGTGTGGCTCACTTTGAGAAATGGAGAGGCTGTTCCGGGAATGTTGGTGCTGAAGAACTTTTGGTGCTGAATAATAAACTTAGCACCTTGCCTTTGCATTGCGAATACAATCTCCAAAGAGTAGGTGTATATTGTATGGCTTTATATGGCTTTTTTGTTAAAGATTAAAAAATCCTACTACAAAGAGCCCGAGATAGTTGCAGGATATCATATTAATAGTAAGTGATTTTTTGTTAATAGTGATTTTTTTGTTAAGTAAGCGACATCACTTGGCCTAGAACTCAAGTGTTTAAACTCTTAATTCAGGCCTTTTCCAGTTGCCTTTCTTCACGTCAGCACTGTTGACACTTGAGGCCAGACAATCCGTTGCTGCCGGATGTTTAGCTCCTACTCTTAGTGCCCGGTCTCTACTGACAGATGTCAAAGCACCCTCCTCCTCAAGTTGTGACCATCCCAAACGTCTGCAGACATTGTTGAATGTCCCACAAGGGACAAAGTGCCCACTCCTCCCCATTTTCAGAGCCGCCACACTAGGAAGCCATCCTAGAGTGCTTTTATTACCCGCTTGCATTGCAAATCCTGCAGGATTAATTTAGAGATATTAAGTACTGATTAAAAATGCCACCTCTAAGGTTTACAACAGAACCTGTGAACAGAGAATGGCCCCGTTCATCTGCACTCATACCTAAATGTTACCCTGAGGCTGCAGGTGAACTTGAATGTGATGGAAAGAAGCTTTTCGGCATAAATCCTCATCTTCTACCTGATATAAAATGTCCCCAAAGTTAATGTCTCTACCTTTTCACGAGAGAGCAGAGGTGAGCAGGATTTGATATGTCCATTTGAGGCTGCTATTCAGTGTGTGGACTTAAAACTCAGGGGAAACAATGCCCATTTCTCTGTGGGACAGGATCATCTGACTCGAGCCACTGGCTCTTTATTACCTGAGGAAGCCACTCTTTCACTTCTGCACAATGTGTTGCTCACAGACACCCAAGGGGGGCCCATGTTGGAAATAGCTTCCTGTGTGTCACCATGTGTTGCTCAATTCAGCCTGTGCTGTGGAGGGTGGTACAGACCTTAAATGCCATAGCACCAGATATCCTGTGAAATGGAAAGTGATCTAAGAGAGAATGGTGATGGAAATCCTGCCAGTTCATAATGATTAGGATAGGCGTACATTCAAGGCCAAAAACAAGAGGCTGAATCTTTCGAGTGAAGGAGCAGCAAGGAGCCAAAGGAAGGTCAGGATCGGAGCGTAAACAGATATCTCAGAGAAGAGACAGGAAAAGAGACATGGGGAATCAGACTTGAGGAAATCTTTGCACGGACCACTTTGTTATATTTGCAAACATGTACAGTCTTTGTATTTTGACTTAAGATACATAAGTAATTATGATATTTTCTGATTGAAGTGGTCTTCCTACCTCTTGAACCTAACCTTGAACTTAGCACTGAATTTTTCCCAAAGTAGGTGCTCAATAAGCATTGATAAATGAATTAGTAAATACCTTCTCCAGGGTCTCCGTGTTCCCAATGCATAGGTGTATGGGTAGTCGGGCAGTTCTCATGCAGCCGAGAGCAATGACTGCATTAGTAAGAAATTCGCCCCTTTCTGGGAGAATCAGAGAGTACCTTAGGTCTTTCGTCCCCTGACTCTCTACCATACAGAAAACTTTACATTGGATAAGAACTTGTTCATGTGCTATTCTGCCTTATGCAGCTTTCAACATCTCCTCCTTCAGAATATGTTATCATTATATTTCTAGTACTTGCTGTCACTGAGAGCAAGACTGGAACTTTGGAGCCACAGCTGAGGAAGGAAAAAAAAATCTCTGGTGGTCTTTTAAAACTGGTGTGTTTGGGGTGATGTCTGATCACCTTCAGCATCAACCCAAGGTTAATTCTTTTGAGGCAGAGGTCAGACTTGTCTCGACCCTTCAACCTTTTCACCAGTTCTGAAGCCAACTACCCTTCACAAGGCATTCTCTACTTCTCTGCTGAGTTCATTAACTCATTGCAGATAGGCAGACATAGAGTTTTGGGGGTCCTTAGGGAAGTAATTAGTTACAGTTCACTATTGGAAATGCTCAGGATACAATTCTTTGATCAGGAAAGTCTCTTCTCAACTGTACTTACAGTCACACCCTTCTCCACCAGGGCCTCACGGCCATGTGGCCTGTTGACCTCTGTCCTGCTCAGACAAGTGTCACCACACCCCAGTAACTCTGCTGGTAAGGGCTCACTAGAGACACCCATCTAGGACAGGAAGGCTCTGCCTGAAGGTGCTCAGCTCTAGCTTTGTGGTTGGGCTAAGCTAGCTCAATCCATTCAGTGCCCAAAGGCAGCCTCCCAAAGTGCCCAAGGGAAACCACTCTACCAGCACACCTTCTGCTCAAAGCCTCTTCACTCCATGAGCCAGGAGGCCCACACTCTGTCTGATAGTGTTTCTCTCGCCTCTGCTGTCGCCATTTCTTTGCCACTGCTTCTAAGGAGCCCTGGTATCACAGATTTGTCCGTGAGGTGTTAGGTTCAGTGTAGGGATCTCAGGTGATTCTTCTCTTGACTTGTCTTTCTTATGGGGAGTGTAATTCCCTTTTTAATCTCTGCATGTTTCGTTTTTAAACCTAGTGGGATGGCACAACCTCCTGGTGAGGGTTCCAATCACCTCCACCTCCACCGCAGGGCTCCATGTGCCTAATTCACATTGTGCACAAGCCTGTCCAATTCCCTGATCCACAAGTAGCTCACTTTGAAGAGTCCTACCCAGCCGTTCAGGGGGAGTTACACAGACTGTGGGGGGTGGTGATGGTGGCAAGTGCCATAGAGTTGGTTCTGACCTACAGCAACCCCATGCACAACAGAACACAACACTGCCTGGTGCTGTGCATCCTCACAACTGCTCATACATTTGAGCCCATTGTTGCAGCCACTATGCGAGTCCATCCTGTTGAGGGCCTTTCCGCTTTTCACTGCCCCTCTGCTTTAGCAAGCATGATGTGTTTTTCCAGAGACTGGTCTTTCCTGACAATGTGTCTGAAGTATATGAGACAAAGTCTCTCCGTCTTTGCTTCCAAGGAGCATTCTGACTGTACTTCTTCCGAGATAGATTCTTTTCCAACACCGTATTTCAAGTGCACACATTCTTCTATGGTCTTCCTTTTTGAGTGCCCAACGTTCCCATGCATTTGAGGCAATTGAAAACACTGTAGCTTGGTCAGGTGCTCTTTAGTCCTCTTAATAACCTCTTTGCTTTTCAACACGTTAAAAGGGCCTTATAATGCAGTGCGTCTTTAGATCTCTTGACTGCTGCTTCCAGGAGCATTAATGTTGGATCCCAGCAAGGCAAAATCCTTGACAGCTTCAATCTTTTCTCCATTTTTTACGATGTTACCTATTGGTCCAGTTGTGAAGATTTTGGCTTTCTTTACACTGAATTGTCATCCATATTGATGGGTGCAATCTTTACTCTTCATCAGCAAGAGCTTCAAGTCCTCCTCACTTTCAGCAAGCAAGGTTGTGTCATCTACATATCGCAGGTTGTTAATAAAGCCTTCCTTCAACCCTGATGCCACATTTTTCTTCCTATAATCTAGCTTCTTTGATTATGTGCTCACCATTTTCTGTTGGGTTACCTTTCTGTGGAATGAACACGCATACGGATGTCTTCCATTGAGTTTACCAAGTAGCTGTCTTCATCAGCCTGTTGAAACATTTCAAATGGTAGTCCATCAATTCCTGGAGCCTTATTTTTGGCTAATGCTTTCAGTGCCGCTTGAACTTCTTCCTTCAGTACCATTGGTCCTAGCTCATCTGCTACCTCCTAAAATGGTGAAATGTTGACTAGTTCTTTTTGGTGCCGTGACTCTGTGTATCCTTT